TTGCAATATTCAGAATCCCACTGGGCATTGACTTTTGCCAGTCATGTTTTGCCATGGGGCGATGTGTCATCGATTCAAAAGCGGGGAACCGCAGGCGATGCTCATTGGTACAGCGCCCAACGTGTTTCCCAAAAAAACAGCGCACATGTTGGATTTGGCGCGCGGCGTACGCGAGTGAGAAAGCAGCCGCCTCTCTAGGGCAGCGCGCGCCTTGAGGGGACGCAAGCTTCAGCGTGCGAGCGCGTCCACCGCGAAAGCGCAAACGCTGCGAGCGACGGGAAAAATCGCCCGCTGCACGGCGATGCGCACACCTGTCGCGACATCACTCGAGAGCGTCGCAATCACATTTGTTTCCGTCCAACTTTGAAGAAACTGTGCAAAATACATCGCGCGCGCGCGCCGCGGCGCGCGCGTGCGCGATTAATTTTGCATGCGCTGGTTAATCAAACTGTGGCAATGTTAATTCGAAGACCAAATTCGGAAAACCGAATGTAAATTTCAGTTTGCTAATCGAAGAGGGGGTCATATGACTGGCGAGTGTGTGAAAACGCAAACAAAATGCATCGCGCGCGCGCCGCGGCGCGCGCGCACGATGCACCATGCATACGTTTGTTATGCGAACAGGGACGATGTTAAGTCGAAAACCAAACTGGGGAAACCCTATGTAAATTCAAGCTTTCTGAGCGCAAGTGAGGGTCATATAATTGAGGAACGTATGGAAAGTATACAAAATACGTCGCGCGCGCGCACCGCGGCGCGCGCGCGCACGATGCATCCTGCGCGCGTTTGCTATACAAACTGGGACGATGTTATTTCGAACACCAATTGTGGAACGATGCATGAAAAATGTATAAATCTGATCGCAAGGGTGGGTCATCTAATTGACGAATGTATGAAAACGTATACAAAATGCATCGCGCGCGCGCGCGCCGCGGCGCGCGCGCGCGATGCATCCTGCATGCGATTGTTATACAAACTGGGACGATGCCAATTCGAAAACCAAATGGGGAAACACAATGTAAATTTTAATTCTCTGATCGCAAGGGAGGGTCATACAATTGACGAATGTATGAAAACGCATACAAAATGAATCGCGCGCGCGCGCGCCGCGGCGCGCGCGCGCGATGCATTATGCATGCGTTTTTTAAAAAACAAACTGGAACGATGTCAAATCGAAAACCAGATGGGGAACGGTTGCTCTTAGTTCTCTGATCGCCAGGGAGGGTCATATCATTGCCGAAGGTATGAAAACGTATACAGGATGCATCGCGCGCGCGCGATGCATCCTGCATGCGTTTCTCATACAAACAGGGGCGGTGCCAATTCGAAAACCAAATGGGGAAAACCCGATGTAACATTCAGTTCTCTGACCGCAAGGGAGGGTCATATAATTGACGAACGTATGAAAACGCATGCAAAATGCACGCCGCGCGCGCGCGCCGCGGCGCCCGCGCGCGATGCATCCTGCTTGCGTTTGGCTTACAACCCGGGACGATGTCAATTCGGAAACCCAACGGGGAAAACCCTATGTAAATCTTAGTTCTCTGATCGCAAGAGAGGGTCATATAATTGACGAATGTATGAGAACGTATGCAAAATACATCGCGCGCGCGCGCCGCGGCGCGCGCGCGCGATGCGTCCTGCATGCGGTTGTTATGCAAACTGGGGCGATGCCAATCCGAAAACCAGATGGGGGCAACCCCATTTAAATTGTAGTTCTCTGATTGCACGGGAGGGTCATCTAATTGAGGAATGTGCATTTGTTATACAGACTGGGGCGATGTCAATTCGAAAACCAAATGCGGGAAAACCCAATGTACTTTTTAGTTCTCTGATCGCAAGGGAGGGCCATGATTGACGAGTAGCGAAAACGTTGACAAAATGCATCGCGCGCGCGCGCCGCGGGGCGCGCGCGCGCGATGCATCCTGCGCGCGGCGATGACAATTCGAAAACCAATATGGGGAAAACCCAATGTAAATTTTAGTTCTCTGATCGCCAGGGCGGGTCATATATTGACGACTGCATGATAACGTATGCAAAATGCATCACGCGCGCGCGCGATGCATCCTGCATGCGTTTGTTATACACACTGAGACGATGCCAGCTCGAAAGCCAAAGGGGCAAAACCCGATGTATATTTTCGTTCTCTGATCGCCAGTGAGGATCATATAATTGACGACTGTATGAAAACGCATACAAAGTGCATCGCGCGCGCGTTCGCCGCGGCGCGCGCGCGGTGCATCCTGCATGCGTTTGCTACACAAACTGGGACCTCGGATCGCAAGGGAGGGTCGTATAATTGACGAATGTGTGAAACCGCATGCAAAATGCACAGCGCGCGCGCCGCGGCGCGCGCGAGCGCGCGATGCGTCCTGCATGCGTTTGTTATGCAAATTGGGACGCTGCCAACTCGAAAGACAATTTTGGAAAACCAGATTAAAAAACCAGCTCACTGACCGCAAGGAATGGTCATATAATTCGCGAGTTCACAATAACGTCTACAAAATGCATCGCGCGCGCGCCGCGGCGCGCGCGCGATGCACCACGCATGCGTTTGTCCTACAAGCTGGGACGATGTCAATACGAAAACCAAATGGGACAAACCCAATGCAAATGTTAGTTCTCTGGTCGCACTGGAGAGCCATCTGATTGACGAATGTAGTTAAACGTAAACAACATGCATCGCGCGCGCGCCGCGGCGCGCGCGCGCGATGCATAGTGCATGCGTTTGTTTTACAAACTGGGACGACGTCAACTCGAAAACCAAATGGGGCAAACCCAAATGTACAATTTAGTTCTCTGATCGCAAGGGAGGGTCGTATAATTGACGAATGCACGAACGCGCACGCAACGTGCATCGCGCGCCGCGGCGCCATGCATCCCGCGTGCGTTTGTCATGCAAACTGGGGCGGTGTCTACTCGAAAACCAAATCGGGGAAACGACCTTATGTGAATTTTAGTTCTCTGATCGTCAAGGAGTGTAATATAACTGGCGCATGCGTGAAAACGCATGCAAAATGCATCGCGCGCGCGCCGCGGCGCGCGCGCGCGCGAGGCATCCTGCGCGCGCGCAAACTTGGGCGATGCCAACTCGAAAATCAACGGGGGGCAACCCTATGTAAATTTTAGTTCTCTGATCGCAAGGGGGGGTCATTTAATTGAACGCACGATAACGCATGCGAAATGCATCGCGAGCGCGCCGCGGCGCGCGCGCGATGCATCCTGCATGCGTGGGGCGATGTCATTTTGAAAACCAAATGGGGAACCCCCCGTATAAATTTAGTTCTCTCATCGCAAGGGAGGGTCATTTAATTGACGAGTGCATGGTAGCGCGTGCGAAATCGGCGCGCGCGCGATGCATCCTGCGTGCGTTTGCCATGAAAACTGGGGCGATGTCAATTCTAAAAACAAATCGGGAAACCCAATGTACAGTTTAACTCTCTGATCGCAAGGGAGGGTCATATAATTGACGAGTGTATGAAAACGCCTACCAAATGCATCGCACGCGCGCGCCGCGGCGCGCGCGCGCGATGCGTCCTGCATGCGTTTGCTATACAAACTGGGGCGATGCCAATTCGAAAACAAAATGGGGGAAACCCAATGTTTAGTTCTCTGATCGCAAGGGAGGGCCATATAATTAAACGAGTGTACGAAAACGCATGCAAAATGCATCGCGCGTAGCGTGTATTCCAACGCAGAGTGGCCCAAGGCCGCCGCGCGCGATGGCGCGGCCCAAGGTCGCCGCGCGCCGCTTCGCTAGGCCCTGCGCCACCGTTCTTAATCATGCCCCAACCGAACGCAGAGTGCACGCACGTGCGCGCGCAACGCGTTTCTGTTAGAAAAACCTCGCTGCCTCGACACAGCGGGTCTGGGCCGCGACCATCGGACTCCTTTCTGGCCAAGCGGCGAGTATTCCAGCCCGCTTGCGTGCGCGAGCCGCCACAGGCACAAAAGCAACGCAACATGTGTGCGTGTTATGTGTGGCTGACATAGAACATGTCGCTGCCTCGTCGCAGTTATTCTGAGCCGCGAGACACTGAATATCTTCGGCGAAGAGACAGAGTTCGAGCCCCGCCTGCGCGTCAGCGCCGCCAGCGACCCGACAGCAACGCGCAATCGGCGCGTCATGCGTAGCTTAAGAAAATGTCGTTGACTCGTCGCAGCTGATCAGCGCCGCGAGACATTGAACTCCTCTGGCCGAGCAACAAATTTCACATACCGCTTGCGCCTCTAAGCCGCAAGAGGCCCATAAGCACATTGCACGCGGCGCGGGGCACCGGCTTCCTGCGGCAAAACAGCCAGTTTAGAACCCAGCGCGAGCGTCTGAGCCGACAGACGCCCAGAAGGAAAATAGGAAGCAGGAGGCCCCGCAGGGACGCAGCATATTTTGTCGAATTGTTGTAATGAAATATGTTTTAAGAAACGATTAAATTACCAAGCAAAACGACAAGCGTCGGACCCCGCGCGCGCGTCTGAGCCGACGGACGCCCAAAAGGAAAACAGGAAGCAGGAAGCCCAGCAGGAACGCAACATATTTTATCGATTTTTTCCACAGGGGACGAAGTGATTAATTTGCCGAGCAAAACGACAAGTTTCGAACCCCGGGCGCGCGTCTGAACCGACGGACACCCAAAAGGAAAACAGGAAGCAGGAAAACCAGCAGGAACGCAACATATTTTATCGATTTTTTCCCAAAAAGGACGAAATGACTAATTTGCCGAGCAAGACGACGAATTTCGAACCCCGGGCGCGCGTCTGAACCGACGGACGCTCAGAAGGAAAACAGGAAGCAGGAAACCCCGCACGAACGCAGCATGGTTATATATGAAAGACAAACAAAACACTATTATCTTATATATATATATATATATCTCTCTCTATATATATAATTAGTCGAATTTGCAATTGGAATCGCCCCGCCGCCTTGCGAAACCGAGCCCGCTTTCGAAGCCGCGTCCCATGTTTATGTTCGGTTTGTTTTTTTCGTGTGTGGAGCGGCCTCTGAAATCCAATTGCACAGGCTATGCTGCGCGGCCATGAAAGCAATGCCCAGCTCCGCCGCGACCGCCGCCACCGCAGCCCTGAGGTTGCGGCGGTCGCGCTGCCAAGGCCAGACCGCGTTGCTCTGGGCCACGGCCGCCTCCGCCCCGGTCAGGAAGAGCGCCGCCGTGCCAGCGCCGGGGCCAACTGGCCAGCACTGCGCCCCCGCGTTGTCCCTCACGCGCCGGCCGAGGACGAGCGTCGTGGCCAGGCACAGGCACGTGTATTCGGCGACGCCGTACATACGGGGTACCTCCCTGAGCACGCTATCCAAACCTGGTTTGCCGGGGCCAGGCCCCGCCAGTCTGCGCGGGCTCCCCAAATTACTTTCGCACGCCGCCCAGCGACGCATGAGGATGACACTGTGCTCCGCGCGCGTCACGCCGGCCACTCCAGGGACGACGAAAGATCTGTGCTCCTCTGCCGCCGTGTTCTTGCCTGGCCCCAGCCCCCGCAGCACTGACTCCACGCGCTGCCGCGGGGGGTTCGCTGTCCGTAGCAGGCTGCCACTAGCCTCCCACGCCGCCTCGTTGTCCAACCGCCAACAGAACAACGCCGCCCGGACGACCCGCGACCGGGGCACCCCGCGCACGGCCTCCAGGCTC